TCCCAGCAGCTTGGGAAGCTGAGGAGAAAGGATCGCTTGAGCCCAGGAGGTCAAGGTTGCAGTGAGGCGTGATTGTGTCCCTGCTTTCCAGCCTGGGTGACAGAGTGAGACTCCAACTCAAAAAACAAGGTGAAATAACCTATCCATGAGTCCCATCTGTATTAAGAAACAAGGGGTTTTTACCTACTGATGCTCAGAATACAGTACTCCCTGCCAGGAAGGGGCAGGGGGTGGAAACTTCCAGTCTGCTGAGCACATGAGACCTCTGAGCCAGCACCAGCCTGCACCTGGGAACACCCTCTGGATCCATCCTTAGGTCAGTGCTTCTCAAACTACCTGGGACAGAGCCCAGTTTTGGGTTTGTTTCTAAACACTAATCCATAGTAGGCCACTGTAAATTCATTGTATTGGAAAATTTAAAAGATAAACAATACAAAACACAAGCCCAAGTTTTGCTTTAACAGATTCAAAAGTTTCTACAAGTTTTTTCTTCATCTCTGTGCTTACTTCACTATGAGCAGGTAACAAACAGCCTTGAACTGCTCTGGCCACCACTATGATTAGAACTGCTCTGGAGACTGGGTGCAGGGGCCCATGCCTGTAATTCCAACATTTTGGGAGGCTGAGGCAGGAGGACTGCTTGAGCCCAAGGAGTTTGAGACTAGCCTGGGTAATATAGCGAGACCTCATATCTACAGAAAAAGTAGGTGGCACATGCCTGTAGTCCTGGCTACTTGGGAGGGAGAGGCAGCAGGATCACCTGAATCCACGAGGTTGAGGTTGCAGTGAGTCATGATAGTGCCATGCCACTCCAGTTGGGGTGACAGAGTGAGACCCTGACTCAAAAAAAAAAAAAAAAAAAAAAGATTGCTCTGGGGCTTCATTTTAAAGTTTTCAGAACACTTCCTGTTTAAGATGCTTCAAGTCTCCTAAATTAAGTAAAAAATACCAGCTTGATATTTACCAAGTGCCCACTGCAGGCCAAGCCCACGTCAGGTGGAAGGGTCCAGTGGTGCACAGGCCAGGTGTAGGGATCTCCCCACACACACCTACATCCAAATCAGACTACCCCTCAGACATGTGCTACCCACTGCATGTCTGAACCCCATTGCCCTGGCTCCATACAAATGTCAGCTGCAACATCTGTGATCACAGCTTTTGTTCACTCAGCCTCAGCCATGTCCCAAATAGGGCGACAGGTACCTTCCATCAGCATTCCTGACTTCCCCGACACCCCTGCGGGATTTTCCTGTCCCTTCAGCCATCAAACCGTGTGGTTCTATGGAAAGTTTCCTGATTCTACAAATAGATACAGTCTCTTTTTTTTCTACTGCAAATCTCTGCACTTGGGGGAAAGAAAAAGTTTTCATCGACGTATGACCCACATTTAGAAAAGTGCAGGCATTTGTACAGCTCAATGAATATTCAGAAACTCAACAAACTCATGTAACCTGCACCGAGATTTTAAAAAAATAACCTAACCGTACCCTGAATCCCTCTTTGTGCCCCCTTCCAGTCACCACCCTTCCCCCTCCCTAACAACAGCCATTATCCCGAGATAGGGTCTCACTATGTTGCCCAGGGTGCAAACTCCTGGCTTTAAGTGACCGTGTTGCCTCAGCCTCCCGAGTAGCTGGTATTACAAGGATATACAACCACACTCAGCTTTTATCCTGACTTCTGTGTGGCTTAGCTTGCCTGTTTTTAGTCACCTAACTGGAACCTAAATATGTCCTCTTGCAGTTGGTTTTGTATATTCAGCACTGTCTGAGAGATTCATTATATTGTTCATTTTCATTGCTGTATAAGATTCCACCGTGACTGTATCAGTTTGTTCACTCATTATACCGTTGATGGGCATTTGGAAGTCTCCAGTGCTGCTAGGAATATTCTACATGTCTGTTGGCGAACTTATGGATGCACTCTTGCAGCAAAAATAACTAGGAGTAGGACTGGAGGGACCAAGGGTTTCCATATGTTCAGGGTTAGTAGATATTCTAATCCCTTTAAAGGCACTTTTAACGTTCCATATTATTTTAATCTTATTTGTGAATGTACTTCATTTCCCCTACTAGCCGATAAGTGGTCCTTCAGTTGGATACATATTGTGTCCTGCTTGATTTTAAAATGAGGGGCCAACATGCAACAGTCGGTAAAAAACTGAAGTGAGAAAGCAGGAAGGAAAATAAGGGTGGGGGAACCAGGATGAAGTGAACACCATGGCCCAAATTCACTCCACAAGGACTCTAGCACTTTTTAAAAGCTGGCCCTCAAGCACAGATGAGCTTCCTATCTGCCAATACAAAGATAGAGTCAAAGTTGCGCAATTCAACGTTCACAGGATGAAAGTGCCAAGTGTTCAGCAACGTTGCTATTTCTGGTTTTGAGATTTCTTCAACGTCGATTTAAGTCTTCCTAAATAAGTCATGGACATTGACAATGAAGGGCTCAACAGCCTCATTTCAGTAACAGCAGTAAGAGATGATGTCAGTTTCTCACCTCCCTTCTAGCCTCCCTCAGGATGGACATGCCAAGCACAGTTCACTGCAAGTAACTCTTGAAGGGGACTAATGCAATCCAGATACACAATTCTCGGAAGGTCTGATTAAAATCAAAGGGAAAGAAAAGTGGACTCAAATATGATCCAGGGACCTCTAGAACTAGTCTCTGAAACCCTTCGGGGGTCTGCATAGGCAAGATCATTTTTACAATACCACGAAAGTTTTTGTGCTCTTCTTAGGCTTATCCTCCTATAACTATATAGTGACGGTTTCCAGAGGTCACATGACGTGTGACATGGCAATGGCTCGAACACAGAAGCAGACATGAGAATTCATCTGTTTTCTGTTAAGCCACACATTAAAGAGATTTGCAAATTACTTGCCTTGGAAAATAAATTTTTCACACAAAGATATACCACATTATCTGGGTTTGTTACTGATACTTTTAAATGACTTAATAAACATTTTTCAAATGTTTTCATTTCTAATTCAATAAAAATAACTATAGATAGAACCCACATAAACGAAATGACTTTGGAGTTCTTGGAAATTTTTAAGAGTATAAAGGGGTTCTAAGACCAACAAGTTTAAGAACCATTAACATAAAAGATTTCCCCAAAAGGATGCTGATTATTCACAAGTCCCAGAAGATAATCTGTGAAAAATGTTCTGTGATCAAATATGCTTTGGAAATATTGTGTCTCTCTTGGGGATCATCAAATTAAAATAAACCTAAGTCAATGTGAACTCTGTTTCTTAAATGTATCTGGCTGTGAGCTCTTTCAAGCGTTTTTGGCATCAACCTGGGGCATACCTGGGAAACTCAGGGGTGAGAGGCAAGGCCCTCATCATCCCTCATGATCAGCATCTCTTACAAGCTGGCTCTGTCCAGTGTGGACAGGAGAGACTGACGCTATGCCTTTGACAACATGAAGAGGGATCCTTTTGTAAACGACAAGGCAAATGAGCGGGACAGGCAGCCCCTTTATCTCTGCCAAGAGGTGGACTGAGGGCAGGGACAGGCCCAGGACAAAGACCCCACTCAGGAGTCAATCGGGGTCTGTTCCACCAAAGACCATCAGTCAAGGCCCCATAGTTCTCTACGGAACTCAGAAACAGCCATTTCAGCCTGGACATCTTCCAACGCAGATGGTACCACATGCTTGCCTCACTCATGAAGAAAACTCAATTAAGCTCCCACAGAATGTTTGACTTTAAGTTACATAACTTCCTGGTGCCCCCTCCAAGGAAAATAGTGGTCAAATGTACCCCTAATGAGTCCACTTCCTTTATTGGGTTGTAAACCGTAAGTCAACTAAATATTAGGGAATGCCTACCCAAAGTGTTGACTTTGGTTTTGGAACTGCCAGTCTAATTTCTTCTTGACAGTAATTATGTAATTGGGCCAGTTGTCTGTTAAGAAAACTCCAAGTTCACAATAATAAGGTTAAGTCATCAGGCAGCTTGTCTAAAGATAGCCTACAGTAATATGCAAGGCACATTGATACAAAAATGAAAAAGATGTACCTCTTCAGAAGCATATCATCTAGTAAGAGGTTAGACATAGAAAGGAAGGAAGGAAGAAAAAGAGGGAGAAGAAAAAGGAGGGAGGGAAAAAAGGAGGGAAGACAGGTTGACCATTCATCCCTAATCTAAAAATGCAAAACTTTTTGAGTGCCAACATAATACCACAAATAGAAAATTCCACACCTGACCAAATATGATGGTTGTAGTCAAAACCTTGTTTCGAGTACAAAATTATTTTTCTACATTGTATAAAAATATCTTTGGGCCAGGCTTGGTGGCTCAGTCTATAATCCCGTGCTTTTGGAGGCCAAGGTGAGTGAAGTGCCTGAGCCCGCGGGTTCGAGACCCACCTGAGCAACTTGGCGAGACCTCATCTCTACAATAAATCAAAAAGATTGGCCGGGCATGGTAGTACGCGCCTGTAGTTCCAGCTACTTGGAAGGCTGAGGAGGAAGGATCGCTGGAGCCCAGCAGGCCGAGGCTGCAGTGGCCAGGAGCAGCCACTGTACTCTAATCTGGGTGACAGAGTGAGACTCCAACTCAAAAAAAAAAAACAACCTTTGGGTTGTATAATGTGTACATGAACTAGAAATGAATTTCATGTTTAGACTTGGGTCACATCCCCAAAATATCTCACTATGTACATGCAGATATTTTTAAATCACCAAAAAAAATAAATAAATAAATCTGCCATCCAAAACACTCCTGGCCCCAAGCTTTTCCCATAAAGGTCATGCCACCTGTATCCTCCCTTTTATCTTTACAGCAGCTGGTAAGGCTCTGAGAGAAGGCTCACCACTCAATAATGTTTATCTCAACTATTTGCTAGTCATCTCTAAAATGTTTACTTGTATATAAGCAGACACCACACAAATACATCTATTTAAATATAACCTAGTCAAGCTGCACTTCTGGGTACTATAATTTAATTTTTCACACACAAAAAAATAAGAACCTACAAAAAAGACACCATTGTAAAGTAAAAATAAATCATTTTAATTCACATGTTTTCACTTCTGTTAATTCATCCTTGATTTCTCTGCATGAGTACTCATCTAGCTTGACTTGCTTCATTTTTTTTATTTTCTAACCTGGAATCTTCAACAAGAAATGGTTACCCTGACCTGTTTATTTTTCAACAGAACCAAGCCCCTTGTCCTCAAAGAGCTTTTCTGCTAGAGTATTTGCAAAGAGCCCTAGAGGCAGCTCAGCATGGAAGCTTTTTACTGGAATCTCTGATTTAGAAGGTGGTAAAATGTGCTTGTACCTTCTGAAATCCACTGGTTGCTTATTTTCATACCACAGCTTACTTGGGTACGTGGCCATGACATGGTCATAAGCAGACTGCCTCCAAATACAGCTGGACAAGACACCCTCATTCTTGGAAAGTTGACTGCATCAGGAAAATCTTCCTAATGGTACCATCTGTTCCAGAGTTCTTTTGATACTTAAGCAGTGAAATATTAATCCTTGTGCAGTCTTTGTTTACAAGTATTTGTAGTACTTATGGTATTACAGGGCTTTCTTCTCCAGTCACTGTGTGAGAGTGAGGTGTCCGGTTGTACTTCATGCAGAATCAAAAACACAAGAAAATCTCTTTTCCTAATCGGGGATGGTCACAGTCTTCTCATTTCCTGCCAAAGGGGTCGGACCAGACTTTTAACCCTATGGAAAGAAACACGGATGAAAACAGAATTCGCTTAAAGATGTCATACTGTTCCCTCAACCCCAAACCAACAAGATGACATCAGAACCCAGCTGTGCCATGTGCCTGAGACTATGGGTGTGGGCAGGAGAGGCTGGGAAGGCCGTCAGCCACGAGGGATGGTGACAGGGCTCGGGAAGTGCTCCACAGCAGGAAGATACACATCTGGCCTCTTTAAAACATAAAATACAAGAAGGGTGCCACAGATGACAAAAGTAAACTGGAACCCTCTCATTCTCCACCAAATTGGATGTCTAAAGCAACTATCCATTCGGACATAAAGGGAGATTTCTGAGCCATTGTATGAAGCAGAATCCTGTGTCAGTGAAAACAGCTTACAAGTAAACACTATTTTCTCATGAGGGTGGGGTTTAAGTAGGTGCTTGGTATATAAATCTGGCAAACAACTACTCACATTTCATATTTAAGCACACACTTGTTAACATTTTTATGCCCGCTTATCAAATGCAAAAGAGAACGTGGTCAACTTGCAGAAAGTATTCTAGAGTGAATTATTAAGCCTTGGGTGGCACCTATAAAATGGTAACTGTTATGAAATAAACAGCAAAATCACAATCTCGTCTCTAAGCTAAAAAGCATTCCCCTACTCTCCAAGCCAAAGCAGCATGCACAAACCACACAACACAGCAGTACAAACTGGATTTTGCTTTGATCTGTTTTTTTTTTTTTTTTTTTTAGTTTACCTGGTGGCTGCACATCTTCTTGAACAATTCCAGCCCGATTTACAGCTTGTTCCTTCTCTGAGAAACACAATAGGAAAATTACTCCTCAGAAAAAGGGGAGGGTAAAATCTTTGTGTTTACATGGGACAATGACATAGGACAATTAGAAAACAATATTTATGAGTGCTACTGAATTCAGAGATGCCATTACACAAAGCTTTTAGGTTGTGGAAGTTAGATCCTATAACGCAAAAATGACTGGGTGTTTTCAGAAAAATAAAGAAATCCATACTTCAAGAGAAAAGTTCCCAACTAATGTCTCTTCTTTGTGATCTTAGCATTTTGGAAAGGCAACAAAACAAAAAAAGAGGAATTTTGAAAGAACTGGTGGGCGTGATATTATGAGAGGAAGGCTGCTGAATTGAACAAGTACAATTAACAAGAAAATGATGTCGTTTCTATGTCTAAGACGCATTCCACTGAAGGACCAGACTCAGAGCTAAATATGCCATGTTTTTGATAGGAAATAGAGCAGAAAATTAATCTTTGGGTGGGTGGCTTTGGTTTGGATAATTGAAGCCTCCCTAATTGATTGCAGGTGCTGTGCCAATTAGTAAGTGCTGTAGCTACAGCAGTGAAGCCAGTCTCTTTGGAGATGTCCAACAGACAAGGCCAAGAGAAATTGGGCATTTCATATCCATGGGCTTCCAGCACTCTGACACATCTTTCTAAGTGGTTTAGAATAAACCCAAGGTCTGTGAAAACAAAGACCTATTATTTTAAGTATCTTGACAAACCAATGGTTTCAGGAAAAAGTCTTGGAGCTAAAGGATGTTTACTACTAAATGATAGTAATTAAATGTTATAATCAGATCTCTGTTTTAATCAGGGTGACAGTGTTTCTTTAAATTCACATTTAGCTTGTATTTAATGTCAGGCTGATTTCCTTATTTTTGCGTCTGGATCCTCATAAAGTTTCACAGCATAAAGGTACAAGAAACAGGGTTTTGCCAAATCTAATATTCATTGAGCTTCCCTAGTGAAGCGACAGAAAGTCAATCCTAAGTGACCTGCCTAATAGCTTTATCAATGCTAAGTTGTGCTTTGGCAAATAAAACACCAGGCATTGGGGATCATGTGAATCTTGACATCCAAGCCTAAGGGGGCAGAGAGAACACAGCCAATTGTAGACAATGGCCTGATGGCTTCACCGGACCTCTGTGTTCAGCAGCAGGCAAATGGTGACAAAGACCCTCTATAGACAAGACATGCCAAAAGATTTCTTCCACCTGGAGTGGATGACATGCAGCCTCCATGGTATCCAACTTTCTGAAATAACTCAACACAGACAGTGTTCCCATCTCCTAGGATGTCAAACTCTTGTAGGACTGAGCCCAACCACACTGTGGATGTGTAAGTCTCAAACTTCAGATGTCTCAAACGTGCTCTTAGAAAATACCAACAAGTAAAAGCCCGCACTGTTGCCAGTCCTGCCAGGAACAACAAGAGAGATAATTTTCCTGACCTCAAAGGTTTATTCTCCAAGATTACAGAAGAGGGAAGAGAGGAGTTTTTAAAATAATTGATTGTCAGAAAGTGTTCTAGACTCACAGGCTTAGGAAAAGCAGACATCCTGGTGTACTGAGCACATTCTCCAAGAGGCAGGTACTGTACCGCTAAAGCACCTGGCAGCCTGCCAAGCATCAAGGGAGGCTGACTTCTGGTGGCAAAGACAGAATGCCTAATTGTGTTCTAACCTCTTATGATGCAATGGAGAACTAAGTGGAGAAAGGAATCCCTGTCTTCACACTTTCTTGCTAATTGCTAATGAGGTTGGAGAGACTGGGGATTGATTTTAAATAGACCATAATCTCTTTATAAGCCTTGTCCTAATGCAGCCCCCTCTGCAGTTTGGCTTGGTCAGGCAATTTAAACCACTTTGCTGAACCAGTTCCTACCAAGTGATCACCAGGTATTAGCATCCTCTCTGTATCCCCTGGCTCTTTAATCCATTAACATTTTATAAATACTCTAAGGCCAAAGCAGTCTTATGTAAATTCAGGATATCACACAAAGACACTTTATTTGTGAATGTGGAAAATGCCAAAAGGAAACCAGAAACCAGTCCCTCAGGATTTACAAAGTACATCTTGATGAGGTTGACAGGTTTCTATTTCAATATCATTGGAAAAGTGCAAATACGCACAAACCTCAGGAAAAGGGCCATTCCAGCAGTCAGGGGTTTAACCATGTGAACACATCAGGATAAGCTAATTCCCAGCGTCAGTAATGAGCACGTTCCTATGAGGGGTGAGAGGATCTGAACCCAACCATGGGACACTGGGTTAGAAAATTCCCCGCTCCAGGGTCTGAGCAAGTCCGACTCTGCCCCCTGGTGCTAAGGCAGTGGTTGGATTTGTAGTTTAACTGAAGATCCTTAACTCTAGGCTGAAGGTAAAAGTATATTATTAAAACGAGGAATACATGCAGACGGGCTGATTTTTGTATGGTGGTAAAAGAATCTACCTCGTAACCTACAAGTCTTTGAAACTGAAAACATATCCTTATATCAAAGTCCATACTGGGAAATAAATCTACTGTGTGACTTCTTACTTTAACATCCCAAACAACACAAATACCTCAGCACACCCACGCCCACCCCGCCAGCAGTCTGGAATTCCTCCTTGAGGCTGCTCAGCAGAGGACTAACAGACAAAAACCTCAGCTTCAAAGCAGGTAAAACCTGGGCAGAATCCGGCCTCAGAATCCACCTCCTTGTGTCCTCTGCCAAGGAACAGGTAAAGACTACTCACAACCTGAAGCCACTGGGACAAATGCCAACTCTGGATATGGACTGTATACTGGACACAGGCTACCTCCACCTGAAATGCCGGGGACCAAGAGTGTTTTGGATTTAGAATTTTTTTTTCCCAGGTTCCGGAATATTTGCATATATAATGAGGTATATATTGGGGAGGGGACCCAAGTCTAAACATGAAATTCACTTCTGTTTTATATACATACAGCCTGAGGGTAATTTTAAACAATAATTTTAATAATTTTGTGCATAAAACAGAGTTGGTGGTAAGTACTTAACTGTGGAATTTTCTACTTCTGGTGTCATGTTGGAGCTCAAAAAGTTTGGGATTGTGGAGCATTTCAGATTTTGGATATTCATATTAGAAATGCTCAATCTGTAACAGCACTATATCAAGATTACATTTCTTACACTGGATAATGTATTGTGATTACATAAAAGAATGTCTTTGTTCTTAGGAAATACAAGCTGAAGTGTTTAGGTATGAAAGTTCATGATGTCTTCAATTTACTCTCAAATGATACAACAAAATATTAATAATAGTTATACATGTATACTAATTGTGCGTGTGTGTGTGTGTGTGTGTGTGTATTACACAAGGGGGAAGCAAATCTGACAAAATGCTAACTGGTCAATTTAGGTGAAGGACATGCAGGATTTATCATACTATTCTGGGGTCTGTCAGTTTGGATTTTTTAATTAAAAAAATACACAGCTGTAAAATATGCATGAGAAAGTTCAACAACATCGTGACTGCTTCATGGCAATTACTTCAAAGTAGCTATCTTCTTAAAAACAGCAAACAGAAAAGTTCTAAAAAACCGTTTCAGGCTCCCATTCTGCTGCTGTTGCCTAGACACTTCCTCTGCCCACAGGGTTTTCCAGGACTGAAGGTGCACTGGGGACAAGTGTGAAGCAGAGGCTGAGGGGAACCAACCAGCCGCAGCAGCAAGTGTGAACCAGGGGCTGAAGGCAGCCCATGATCATAGCAACAAGTGTGAACCTGAGGCTGAGGGGAACCAACAGCCACAGCAGCAAGTGAGAACCAGAGACTGAAGGAGACCCAGTGGACATGGTGGTGAGTGTGAACCAGGGCAGCCGCTTGAAGGGAATCAGGTGGCACTCGAAGCGCTGGCTCCTCCCAATGCTGTAAGCACTTCCGTGTCCTCAGCAGCACCTGTCTGGATCCAGGAAGCTGTGTATGCCGGTCAGGAAGCGAGTCCTCAGCCTGCCTGTGCTTTTCACTTGCCTGTGCCAACGATGCTGCGCCGACAGGGCTCCCAGTTCTGGACTGCTGACCCCCGACACTATCAGCTCCTCAGGGCTCGTGTCAGTACTCAAGGATCGTGCACAGAACGGACCCTGTGCTCCCTGTAGCATGCAGGAGAGACTTGCTGTGTTAACAAACGAGCTGAAGGTCCAAACGAAGCCCACAAGGCAGTCTGGCGACAGTGGCTTGCCTGCTTGCCATCATGGGAGCTCTCTGTGGCTCTGTCTTGCCTAAGAGCTCCCGCTTCATTTCCACTGCCTGTAAGCTCATTCCAGCGAAACTCTGGAACCTACCTGGTCCCTCTACCCGGGATGGCGCAGCTGAAGGACCCAGCCTGACCTGACGCTTGGGCTCTACATGGCCTGGGCATTTCCTTTGCCTACCAAGGCTTCAGATTGTGTTTTTACATGTAACCCAGTTCTCAGGGAGCACGTTTCCGCTCCACCCTTCCAAAAATGGCAGGCTCTTCCTCAGTAGGCCCCGAGTCCTAGGGAATGCAAACGTAAGGAGGATGGCCAGAGGAGACCTGGTCAGCAAGCTGGAAGGAGCGGCTGGAAGGCAGGAGACAGAGCCAGCCAGGCAGGCTGGCAGGAGGCCTCACAGAAGCCCAGGAAGATGTGCTTCACAGAGGGAGAGTCTGGCCTGCAGTTGTTATCTCTTACTCACAGGTGACCTGACCTCCTGTGTCACAAAGAGAGCAGATGCCACCACCTGGAAGTGCCCACAATTTGCCAACAGTGAATCTGCTGCAGCACCCACACCTGTCCCTGTCCCTCCTCCTGAACCGGAAGAAGGATGCCCTGCCTTCCGTCCAAGGCTCTTCCCCAACAGGAGCCCGTGACCACACGCCACCTCCCACAATGTGGGTTGTCTCCTCTCTCCAGCACCTTTCTTTGTCTGAGACTTTCTCGGTCCTCCATATCCCCCAGCCAAAACCAAAACAAAACTCCCCCTAGACCTGTGACCTGCTGCAAATGGCTTTGCCAGGCT